TTGGTCAAAATTGTCATTAATTCATAAAAAATTAATTAGGCATCCAATTAAGTCAAATTTAATGTCACGATGCATTGTCTTCTTGTCTTGACCCACGCTCCAACTACGAACCCTATCTGTCGGCCGTTTCGATCTAGACTGACGACTGACGGACGACTGACGAGGAAGCTAAATAAAAGCTTGTAAAAAGATCGAGATTTTCCCATGTTTTCTTTAACTTGCTTTCGCGTCGGTTTTTCCATCAAATCTTGCGATCGAAATTTCGGGCACTTCCCAGTTAGCTAGCGCGCTGAAATTTTCAGGTACGCTTTGTTTCCGATGACAATACAATATTCAATTATTATTATTACTAAATTGATCCATGGAAAAATTTTATTGATCATTTTAGACTCCTATTGGTTTGTACAAAAAAACGTGGGATAAGGGACATAACCTAGTAATTGTAATTTGATAAAAACAAGGTTCGGTACTTTCCCTCTTTTGGATTACTGAAAAACAAATGAAAAAAAAATGAAGGAGCGAGCACGCGATTTGCTGAGTAGTGGTCACGCGGTGTTTGTGTACAAACCTATGCAAATCTGACTGATCCGGAAGTAGAATGTTGATTTATCGAATGGTTTGCACGCGAGGGCAAAATGGTGAAAGAAACGGCAACACAGAAGAAACGTCGATTGAAAAAGGCACGCCAGAAGTATCAGGAGAAGCGCAATGCAGGATACAGATTGGAAAATCCTCCTAAACAACCAAAAATTATGGAAAAAGGTGAGTATCAAAAGAAGCTTGAAAAAGATCGAAACCGAAAATCTGCTGCTTTAGCGATGGAGACAGAACAAGAAAGGATCTCTCGTCTTGCTAAGCAGAAAGAACGAACTGCTGCTATACTTGCGATTGAGACCGAAGAAGAAAGGGTCTCTCGCCAAGCAAAAGACAGAAAGCGTCATGCTACTGCTCGTCAAGACAAAGAAAGGCATGAAGCAGAATTGCAACGTCGACGCACTGCTTACGCCCAACGTTCGGCAGCAATGAAAACATTTTTCGACACGATAAACACTTTTTGCAATATAACTTGTGATATTTGTCATAAGCAGTGCTACCCTAATCCCGTGACAAAATATCACATGCTTGCTTCTAAGGGATACCTTCCCCCTGAGCTTGCGCAAAAGACTGTGCTAGAAGTTTGTCACCGATAAGTCCCTTTTATCTTTGGGTTCGTACTTTGTGAGTGTTTGTCTTTGTTTACCCAAAAATAAAAGTGAATGAGAGAAGATAAAATCGATAGCAAGATTTGAATGCAAACAAACAGACAAAGACTAAAAAGTAGAAAATAATTATCATTAAAAAAAATTTTAAAACTCACGTTTTCTGATTGAGCTAAAAAGTAGAAAATAAAATGCTATACATCACAATAATGCAAGCGATAACTCTACTACAAGCGATCGCAAACTGTGTGCGCATTATGACAAAAAATGAAAAACGTGGGGCGCCGTGATTTTCTTACAGTTTCTAATATTTCGGCGCCCCACGTTTTTCATTTTATGTCATAATGCGCACGCAGTTTGCGATCGCTTATAGTAGAGTGATCGCTTGCATTATTGCATATTGAATTTATTTTCTACTTTTTAGTTCAATCCGAAAACGTGGGTTTTTTTTTAAAAAATTAATGATAATTATTTTTGCAATTCTGGACATTTTACACCTCCCTGACTCGGAAAAACATAGTTTTGCAATCTTGTCCATATGTCTGAATGTGTATGTGTGTGTATGTGTGGCATATATATATATATATATATATATATATATATATATATATATATATATATATATATATATATATATATATATATATATATATATATATATATATCTGTCAAGAACGCTACAGAGAAAACACAAGCAAAATAAAAACTTTCATAGTAAAACGAAACATGACGTCACATGGAGCATATAGTGGGTATTATTCTAAAGCCGGCTATAGAGAAAACACAAGTAGAATAAAAACGTTCATAGTAAAAAGAAAACGAAATATGACGTCACATGGAGCATATAGTAGGAAAAAGTCTAAAGCCGAGGGAGTGCACACAATAATATGACGTCATTGATTATCGAGTAAACATTGAACTAAAAAGCCAATTTAGTCTAATCTAAGTGGTTTGCGTGTAGAGTTTCTTTCATACAATTCTTCGGGTAGGGGCGAAGCCCCACCCTCGCGAAAGAACGTCTAAGCCCCCCCCCCCCTCCCCCCAAACTCAAAAAAAATGTCGTCATCGATACTCTTTAATAAAATTACCGCCTAATTAATGTGTCTAATCTAAAAAGTGGTTTGCTTGCAGAGTTTCTTTCATGCGAAGCCCATTTAACCACCCTACCCCCCCCCCCCCCCGGTAGAACGTCTAATCCCTCCCCCTAAAAGAACTGGTGGTCGGCAACCTGCCAGATCTCCTTGGTTTTCTTACCGCGGTACAGATACATGTGCAGATAGGTAGATTCAGGGACATGATACGGACTTGAGCCCGGGATCCGAACTTTAGACTTCCGGGTCCGCGCCGGAATATAGTTTTCTGTTGTAAAGTTATGGTAATACCGTGAACAATATATGAAGACATTCAAGCAGTGGCGTCGGGTGTCACCCGGTGCGGCACTTAATTGTGTCACCCCTCAGAGGCGTAGCAACCCTTCCCGGGGACAAACTTTCAATTTTCGATTTGCGCCCCCACTCCTCAAACTTTTATTTGCACCTCTTAAAAGACTATTTAACACTCGAATGAATCACTTAATTAAGTGGAATTATTATTTTTCTCTCTATGTTTTGCTTTTTTTTTTTGACTTGGTGTCACCCCCCTAAATGGTGTCACCCGGTGCGGTCTGCACCCCCCGCCCCCTCCCTCGCTACGCCTCTGCATTCAAGTATTAAAACTCTATTTCTGGGTGATATTCAATGAACTAGGTAGGCCTCAATCAAATGCACTGAATTAATATAAATTGACCCCTAGGTTCAAGTTTGATATACTGGTCAGCTTCTTTTTATGAAAGATTATCTGTTTCTCTTATCTAATGGGGACGGAGTGGTCTAGCGATAGAGATCTGGACTGCTAACCCGTAAGTCTCGAGTGCGAATCCGAGTTCAAGTCAGTAGACCGTCCCTGAGTCCCCCAACCTAACTCACGTTAGGGAAAGTAAAGGCGGCTGGGCATAGTGCCGAGGTCACAGAAACAAGTGAACTCTACTTCACTTGCCCTAAAGATCGTCAGGTTTGAAAGGGAACTTGTATTACTTTTCTCTTATCTAATATTTTCATATCTGTTTCACAGATAGTTGGACTAAGAGACTATATTACTACATCGACAAACATCCCAGTAGAGAAAATCAAGGGCTTTCGAGTCCCTTATCTGCGTATTTATGGAGATACTCAGTATAAAGTGCTCCAAGATTTCAACTTTACGTATGACTCGTCTATTGCAAATGTTGAAATCCAAGCAGGGAGACTACCTAGCTGGCCATTCACACTGGATTATCTCATTAAAGATGTCAAGTATGTTGAGCCTCTTACTATGTTTGGTGGATGGTCTAGTATATAGAACATCTTACTTTGTTTGGTAGATGGTCTAGTATATAGAGCATCTTACTTTGTTTTGTGGATGGTCTAGTATATAGAGCATCTTACTTTGTTTAGTGGATGGTCTAGTATATAGAGCATCTTACTTTGTTTAGTGGATGTTCTTGTATGTTCAGCATCTTAATTTGTTTGGTGGATGGTCTAGTATATAGAGCATCTTACTTTGTTTAGTGGATGTTCTTGTATGTTGAGCCTCTTACTTTGTTTAGTGGATGGTCTGGTATGTTGAGCATCTAACTTTGTTTAGTGGATGGTCTAGTATATAGAGCATCTTACTTTGTTTAGTGGATGTTCTTGTATGTTGAGCATCTAACTTTGTTTAGTGGATGGTCTGGTATGTTGAGCATCTAACTTTGTTTAGTGGATGGTCTGGTATGTTGAGCATCTAACTTTGTTTAGTGGATGGTCTGGTATGTTGAGCATCTAACTTTGTTTAGTTGATGGTCTGGTATATAGAGCATCTTACTTTATTCTGTTGATGGTCCAGTATGTTGAGCGTCTTACTTTGTTCTGTTGATGGTCCAGTATGTTGAGCATCTTACTTTGTTCTGTTGATGGTCCAGTATGTTGAGCGTCTTACTTTGTTCTGTTGATGGTCCAGTATGTTGAGGCTCTTACTTTGTTCTGTTGATGGTCCAGTATGTTGAGCATCTTACTTTATTCTGTTGATGGTCCAGTATGTTAAGCGTCTTACTTTGTTCTGTTGATGGTCCAGTATGTTGAGCCTCTTACTTTATTCTGTTGATGGTCCAGTATGTTGAGCCTCTTACTTTATTCTGTTGATGGTCCAGTATGTTGAGCCTCTTACTTTGTTCTGTTGATGTTCCAGTATGTTGAGCCTCTTACTTTGTTCTGTTGAAGGTCCAGTATGTTGAGCCTCTTACTTTGTTCTGTTGATGGTCCAGTATGTTGAGCCTCTTACTTTGTTCTGTTGATGGTCCAGTATGTTGAGCGTCTTACTTTGTTCTGTTGATGGTCCAGTATGTTGAGCGTCTTACTTTGTTCTGTTGATGGTCCAGTATGTTGAGCCTCTTACTTTGTTCTGTTGAAGGTCCAGTATGTTGAGCCTTTTACTTTGTTCTGTTGATGGTCCAGTATGTTGAGCGTCTTACTTTATTCTGTTGATGGTCCAGTATGTTGAGCCTCTTACTTTGTTCTGTTGATGGTCCAGTATGTTGATGTTCTTACTTTGTTCTGTTGATGGTCCAGTATGTTGAGCCTCTTATTTTGTTCTGTTGATGGTCCAGTATGTTGAGCCTCTTATTTTGTTCTGTTGATGGTCGAGTATGTTGAGCCTCTTACTTTATTCTGTTGATGGTCCAGTATGTTGAGCCTCTTACTTTGTTCTGTTGAAGGTCCAGTATGTTGAGCGTCTTACTTTATTCTGTTGATGGTCCAGTATGTTGAGCCTCTTTCATTGTTCTGTTGATGGTCCAGTATGTTGAGCCTTACTTTGTTCTGTTGATGGTCCAGTATGTTGAGCGTCTTACTTTGTTCTGTTGATGGTCCAGTATGTTGAGCCTCTTACTTTGTTCTGTTGATGGTCCAGTATGTTGAGCGTCTAACTTTATTCTGTTGATGGTCCAGTATGTTGAGCGTCTAACTTTATTCTGTTGATGGTCCAGTATGTTGAGCGTCTTACTTTATTCTGTTGATGGTCCAGTATGTTGAGCCTCTTACTTTGTTCTGTTGATGGTCCAGTATGTTGAGACTCTTACTTTGTTCTGTTGATGGTCCAGTATGTTGAGCCTCTTACTTTGTTTAGTGGATGGTCCAGTCATTCTGTCTGTCAATCAAACGCATGCTGAAACAAAAACTCAAACACACAGCACACGCTTATACAAACGCAAACACAAAAGAAAACACAAACACAAACGCAAAAGCAAACTTAAAATAAAACACAAACACCATGCAATCAAAAATGCATACGCAAACGGAAAAACAAACAAACACAAACGTAACACGCATCACGAAACACGCAAACACAACTGCAAACCTAAACGCAAACAATAACGCATAACCTAAACACAAACTTAAATGCAAACATAAACGCATAGTGCTCACAGTCCAGCCCGTGGCGCCAAATCGCAACCTGCCGGGGCGCCGTCGGTACCACCTGATTCAATTTAGTAAATGACTATAATACCCTAACGTATCCATAGTCTATTGCACTCACTTAGACGAACGTAGACGCCATAGCGCTCTCGGGGGGGGGGGGTGCCGAATAGCACATTTGTGGGAACGTGTTAACTCGAGTACTGTTTTAGCTAGGTTTACTCTTAATTCTTAAAACATTTCCAGTTTATAAAATACCGATACCGATCATCTGGGGCATTTATCCAAAACAACACCTAAACCATCCCTGTTTCTGTAAAAACTGGTGCACAGATGCAGTACTTTCATCATCAATCTTTTATAGAGTAACTGATTGGATTATGAGAAAAAGTACTTGATACAAACCATGTTGAATCCAATTGAACCTCAGCAAGCAGCTCGACGACAGAAGCCTCACCTGGCAACGAAACAGCATGCCCAATCCAAGTTCAGCTAAAAGCTAATAAAGAGGCTCTCGTGACAATCAACTGGGGGGGGGGGGGGGTGGTAAACCCTTTTGTAAAAGAAATACAAAAGCACAAGAGTGGGTATGCCAAAACTGGCTTGGAAGAAGCTGTTTTCACTGAAACTATGTGCCCCATGCTGTATCTCAAAAATTATTTAAGATATCGGAAAAACGTTAACATTTGTAAATCTTTGTGTTATTTTACTACAAAATCTGTGCTGAGATATTTGAAATTATGCGTGCAATCCTTGTGGTCCTGAAAGGGATACAAACGTTCATTCGGATTTAAAGCATACATATTGTTATTTTACGCTGTTCTAAAGAGTGAATGTAATGCTCTCTGATTACTGAAGTAAAGAATGACTTTTTAATCTATTTAAGCTGCCCTAACAGACCCTGTCCTAAACATTCATATCCCGGTTTCTGGGAGGTCCCTATGAATGGTTGGACTGGAGATAATGGATACAGTTGTAGCATGATAGATGGTTGCAGCGTGGACGGCCCACTCTTTGGAGGATCAGTTGAAGATTTCTTGCGATATTTCAGGTATACTTTCACAACATAATAATAGTACAGGTACCTCGGGGGGGGGGGGGGGGCGGGGGTTGTGGACCGCACCGGTGACACCATTTAGGCAGAGGCGTAGCGACCCCTCCCGGCGCCCGGGGCGAACTTTCAGTTTGGCGCCCCCCCCCCCCCCATATATATATATATATATATATATATATATATATATATATATATATATATATATATATATATATATATATATATATATATATATATGCGTGTGTGTTTGTGTGTGCGACAATCTGGAAAAAAAATTAACAATTACGCTGATTGTCGTTCCCTAAGACTTCACTTGACGCCAATTAATTTCCCCTTAAGATGCCGAAACGAATAACACGTAGAAAATCATAAGAGCTTAGAACAGTGGGCTCCATCGAACCCGAGAGGTTCGGTAATTCAGTCTCAGTGCTTCCGCGGAGGTCAAGACACACACCCGACTCATAGGATTCACGATCGGATTTTGTCATTGTGGACGATACAACTATTAAGGAGGGTTCGGTGATTGCGCATATGAAACTGGTTGGGTTCGGTACTCCAAAAAGTTAAGAACCACTGCTTTAGAGTGTATTTTGTAGAAGGTGCAAGCCTTATTTGGTCTACTTTTGGTCGTATCTTTAGAACAATTTCGATAATAGTAGGCCAATATTGCAATTTTGAATTATCAGTTAGGTTGAACAAAGTAATAATCGGTACAATATATTAATTTTCTTCTCTCTTAACATTTTGACAAAGAGTGTCGCTTCCCATCCACCCGCTCCGACAGTCTGCTAACTCTTTTTTATGTTACACAATCTTAAAATGGGTTTCTTTTCTAGGCGATATCGGTTTATTCCTTAATCCGGTGTGAATTTTCCCGATTTTAGTCTTCGAAAAAGCGCCCCCCCCCCCCCCCCTCCCCATCTAGGAAAGCTGGAAAGCGGTTTTTCCGGTCACTGTTTCTTAAAGATATACGTTTTACAGTTACACAACCAAGGTAGAAAACAGTTAAATCAGTATGCAAAGGCTCTCAGCCGTTACATTTCTTTATTTTAACTGTTTATAATTCAAAACTGCAGCTTAAAATGAGCTTTTAATTTTTTTTTCTACCCTTTTGGCGCCCCCCTAGGGTCGGCGCCCGGGGCGGCCGGCCTCCCCGCCCTCCCCTAGCTACGCCTCTGCATTTAGGGGGGGGGGAGGGGTGACACCAAGGCAAAAATAGCAAAATTTATACAGAAAATTGATAATTCCACTAAAATAAGTGGTTAATTAGCGTGTTAAATAGTCTTTTAAGAGCAAATTTGACAAATCCCGACAATGTTGGAAGGGGGGGTGACACCCGACCTCGCTACGCCACTGAGGTACCTTAAACTTTGTGTCAATTATTCTATCCACCAAAAAGTACACTGCAGAGTTTCACAATTTAGAGAAGCACGCTTTGCTGCAGGTTAATGCCATGTTTTAAGAGGAATTTACCAATGCGTTACCAATTATTTACTTTTAGATGGCTGACCTTGTTTTCTAAATCGGAGTTCTTTAAATGTAAACAAAGCAGGCGTTAAATTTCTTAGATCTTTTATGTTGGACGCAGGTTTGTGCACATAGCAACCACGTGCTGTATGAAAGCCTCGAGTGTACACTGCTCCTCTTTCTTAATAGTGAAGTAGAACACACCTCAACGACCGCCCATTTAGTATGGAAAGTGTGCGTTTTGGAGAGGAATAGTGGTTGTGTTTAGGAGAGGAATAGTGGTCGTGTTTAGGAGAGGAATATTGGGCGTGTGTAGGAGAGGAATAGTGGTCGCAGAGTTTCTTCCAGGCATCTCTTCGGGGGGGGGGGGACTAAGCCCCCCACCCCCCCGAAAAAATTTTACCGCCCCCCCCCCCCCCGAACGAAATGAAATGTATATAATTTATATAGAAAATATATACTTTTAACAGTGTCCGCCCCCCCCCCCCCCGATGAAAATCTACCGCCTCCCCTCCCCCCGAAAATTTCAAGTGCCCCCCCCCCCCCCCGGAGAAAAAAGTCTGGAAGAAACACTGAGTGGTCGTGTTTAGGAGAGGAATAGTGGTCGTGTTTAGGAGAGGAATAGTGGTCGTGTTTAGGAGAGGAATAGTGGTCGTGTTTAGGAGAGGAGTAGTGGTCGTGTTTAGGAGAGGAATAGTGGTCGTGTTGAAGTGTACGACTGTGTAGTCGTAGATTTGGAATGTTATCTTTCTTTTTCTTCGTTCTTAAATGTAAGATTAGACGTAATTTCCTCCAATGCAATTAACTATTACGTCTCAACATGTTATGTGCTTAATTGGCCGTTGACCCCGATTTTAGCCTGCTTTTCTTTTTTAATTTCCTTCAAACTACATGGTAAAGTTGCTATCACCAGCTGTACGTGGGCTCGAACTCAGTTCTTTTCGATTTGGTAGCCATGAGATTTACCGACCCGATCATTCTTCGAAGAAAGTCTACCGCCTCCCATACGAAATGGAATTTATATAGAAAACACTTTTACCAGTGTCCGCCCCCCTCCCCCGAAAATAGCATGTGCCCCCCCCCCCCCCCTCTCCCCCTGGAGAAAAAAGTCTGAAAGGAACACTGAACCCGAAGACGCTGAACCCAGATATATTGGAAATGTATATCCTAATATATAAAAGCACATGTGCGCACTTCTCTCTCTGTCCGCAAAATGTTTTCACAGGCTATCATATCAGTATCTTCAGCGATATATGGAGAACTTGATAACTTGTTGAAAATAATATGGTAGATGCTTTAAATGTATAAACAAAATTTAATTTAAAGAAGAAAAATAAAAAAATAAAGGCACATTCGAATGTAGAAAAACACTTTTAATTATGCAGCCGGAAAAGTGTTTATAGTTGTGATAAGAGCTCCGAAATTGAAGTACGGAAAGTACACAAAACCAATAGCGTTATCTTCCAATTTTAGACTAGGAAGAAATGAACCATTTCATTAAAATTTGATTTAGATCTATAGATTTACTTATCGAGACGTAATTTATGGAATTTATACAATTTCCTCGGCCAAAACTAATACAAATTACTTTAAAAAAAACAACATAAATGCCATTGAAAAGCCGGGGTGTGTGCATTTAGTATGGTGTTGTGTTGACTAATTATGTATATAATTTTGTTTTATTTTTTCTAATAGATGTTGGTAGCCTATGTTATTTTAAATATGTCGGAATTTTAACTATTTAGTTATTTCTTTGCTTTGTCACTAATATCGTTAAACCTGTGGTAAAGCACATTGCGTTTTCACCAATAACTATTTTATAAAATATTCTTCTAAAAATGGATAACATTAAAAATATATAGACCTATAATTCACATATAGTTTATTTAGAGATTGGAGGAGGGGCGGTCATGGGTTTTGAATTATTAATTGCAATGATTATTCGTCTTTATCTTTCACAACAGGCGTAATTTTTACGCGAACTTTTACCCGCACAAAGTTCCCATGCATATGTTTACTCATGCTTCAATGTTCCTAAAATCACAAAACGCTCTTGAAGGTAATCAATTGTTTTTAGAATATTTAAAGAATCAATTATGCTCATAAAAAAGCATAACATTATCTAATTGCAAACTCTAATAATATTAAATATCCCGAACTAATTTGCTATAAATGAAGTATTAACTGAGCTACCGGAACTTTTTTTTAAGCCCTGAGGATTTTCCTCCAAGAGTTGTGCTCAAAGGACGACGTCTGGCTAGTGAGTCCCAGTCAAGTGATCAGCTGGATGCAGGAGACAATGTCTAAAGACGAACTCATTTCGACAGCCTTTTCTTGCTGACTTGTTTAATTTTTGAAAACTCTGATTAGTTGTCTTCTTATATACTGAGTAAAAAGGAAGTACTGTAATCGTGGAAAAATTCTAAATAGATTTGACGTTTTAGGCTACCCTTCCCGGGTCGGAAAAAAACTTAGTGTTTGCAACTTCTGGTAAAACCATTCAATACATAATTATTAATATAGCGACCCACGTTTTTATTTTTAGATATTTAGATAGTAGTTTTTAGTGCATAATTTTATAAAAGCTTGCTATTAAAACGTGGCAAATGGCTTTTGGGCATTTGTCGCATTCGTGCAAGTGTCCAATCGGACATTTGTCGCATTCGGGCAAGTGTCCAATCGGGCATTTGTCGTATTCGGGCAAGTGTCCAATCGGGCATTTGTCGCATACGGGCAAGTGTCCAATCGGGCATTTGTCGCATTCGGGCAAGTGTCCAATCGGGCATTTGTCGTATTCGGGCAAGTGTCCAATCGGGCAAGTGTCCAATCGGGCATTTGTCGCATTCGGGCAAGTGTCCATTCGGGCATTTTTTAAATTCGGGAAGTGTCCATTCGGGAAATCGGCCTTCAGGCAATAGCATTCGGGCAAGTGTCTTTCTGGAAAACGTCCGGCTCCCATCTGTGAACAAGATAACTTGAGCACTGTTACAGCTAGGTTGATGGAATTTCAAATTAAACTATAACATCAAATATGTATTTCTGTATCAATTGAAATCAACTTTTCAGCGATTTACGGTAAGAAGTGGAATGTATTCTACTTTCGGTTTTTCAAAAGTACTCTTTCTGATAGATAGATCAAATTACATATATAAGTAAAATATCTAGTACTCTGTTTTCGGTCAAATTTTTATTAATTTCTGGTGACCAAAAGTAGTACTTAACCCTATTTCCAGTTACTTTTAAAAAACGCATATGAATTAATTAAGCTACACAACTACCATACTGCAATTACTAGGCCTAAAGAATAATTTGGGAGTTTAACTTTTCCAAAATCTCCCTAAGTCTACGGGTACCGACGGCTAGTTTTTTAAAAAGAGTCAGACATTGCGGGCAGTCTAATTTTTTTCTTTTTTTTATAGATGCTTCAGACCGCACTGTGTTGTGGCTGTCTAGCTATGTGGGTTCGGGTAAATTCGGGTAATCAACATATCGTCAAATACTACATTTACTCAACTTAACGCTGCATGTGTTTCCATAACAAACCGCATCTCCCCTTTTTTTGTGTGGTCGCGCTGGCCGATAACCCTACACACCTGACCAAGCGAGCACATTATACACGCACTGATATTTAAATATCTATTTGTAACGTGGTTATTTTTAGTTTTTTACTTGAAATAAACCGCGAGTGATCTCCCCTAAACTTTCTCGAATATTCTTATATAACACTACGGGATATGGCAGTGTTTCTTCCAGACTTTTCTCGGGGGGGGGGGGGGGGCAACATTTTTCCGGGGGGGGGGGGGGGGGGACGACACTGGTAAAAGTATGTATTTTCTATATAAATTACATTTCGTTCGCGGGGGGGAGGGGGGGGGGGGGCTCCACTTCCGATTATTGGAAATCGCTGAAAAGTTATTACGGATCTACAAATTTGATATAATACTTATATATCAAATTTCATCAACCTAACTGTAACGATATTCAAGTTTTCGTGTTTACAGACACACACACAAACCAGATTGCAAAACTATGCTTTTCCGACTCAGGGAGGTGTAAAAAGTCGAAATTTGCGAAAATCTCGATTTTTTTTTTGCACGATTACAAATACAATACTTTCTCTATACTTCGTATACGAGAAAGTAAAAATTACTAGATCTACATATCTTAGGTTTTGACACTATGATTTAGTTACAATTTAGCACCTGCTACAAAATACCTTCCAAACTACAGACATTTTTTTTCTTTTTTTTAAAAAGAAAACGTATAATGGGAATTTCATTGGCGTCGAGTAAAGTTTAATGTAACGAAAATAATACACTGTAATTATTAAATCTTTTCCGGACTCTAGCGAGTGCACACACAATGAGATATAAATCATTTCTTTTAAAATTGGACTTTCGATTATAATAATAATTAATAAGCAGTGGTTACTATAAAAAAATAGAGATATACATAGGTGTTTAGTTTTTTTTATATAAATGCAGTCTCTAACGGTTTTAACTGATTTTATTTCTAAATACTATATATATTTTTATTAAAAGAATATGTCGCAAGTGTGTGGTTTCTGCCATAAATTTTAATTTAGTTGACTCCCTGATTTTTTGTAAGATAGGTTAAAAATTTTAAGTTATGAATGTTAAAACTATAAACAAAGATCATTTATGTAAATAAAGTAGTCTGAAAGTTCAAATTAGTAAATGCTGATTGTTTAATGATTAAAGAAAAATTTTACTGTCAGGTAGTCACTTTTTGGTGACACCAATAAGCACAAAAAAACTGGTCCTTATCATTGTTCGACATGTTTTTTTTTATAAAAAGGATAGTGTTGTGTCTGGTTGATGTAAAAAAAATTAAATTGTGAAAGCTTTTGAGATAAACACCAAATGAGATTAAATAGAATTTCAATAGGATTTTTTGTAAAATAGTTCAATATTTTTTTGCTTCACTATACTATATGTTAAAGAAAAGCACAATGAACTTTTTGTGATAATAAATTTTTACAATCTGCAGTTATGTAAATGAACTTTATTGATATCCAGAAACAGAAACTTATCAATAAAAAAAAAAATAATCTGACTTTCTATTTGAATTCTGGATAAGTTTTAAAAAAAACAGTGACAATGGATAAAATTAACATTATGATTACAGGACAAAATCTTGACAATGATAGGGATGATTAGCATGTACACACATTTATAAACAAAGTTCCAATCATTAATTTACCTTTCAATTATTTTTTGGGCATCAAATTGTAAACTTTTTTTAATAAAAAAAAAAAGTTCCCTGGCTGGTAGCAGCCTTCACTTGGCCTATGTAACATATATACAACATGAGCTTAAAAATGCTGGTTTATTATAAGGTCAAACCATGTAGTCCAGAAACTTTTTCACTGGAAAAATTTGTTACACATTTTAACATTGTTAAAAAAAGGAGTTGTGCTTGTACAACTTGAATATATTAATCTTACAATATACAAGTTGTAGCAGCATATGATCATATCTAAGTACTAAATAATGTTATCATCAATAAAACAGAATTTTGGGATACAGTATTCAGTGGGACCAAGTACTATGCATGTGGAAATCTTGTATATCACAAACCTAATCTTTGGGCTGGACAACAATTCCCACTCTATTTACAATAAACAATCCAATACTGCTCTAATTACTTTTTAATTTAATGACTTAAAAATGTATAAACAAAATAATATTCCAATGTGTATATACTTTCAAAACAATTTCAATTTTTATTTAGGTAGCAATGAAATCATTTATAAGCATAAATATGCCTTCAAACATTTGATAATGGAAATACATTCAATAGTGGTCACATTCTTGTTTCTGAAAGCCAATACAAAATGTAAGCTCAGTCATATCAAAAATAAAAATAAACCCTTATCCATCCAAACACTAGTTCTTTATGTACACAATTTCAAACCTGTACAATCACACCACACTCATACCGGTCAAGTAGCAAAAACTATGCATCCTCTTCTTCTTCTCCACCCTCTTCTTCTTCATCATGCTTCCTCTTTGTCCCTCTGGGTCCTTCTTCCTCCTCTTCCTCCTCACCTTCACCTTCTTCTTCTTCATCATCTTCTGAGGAAAAAATATTTACATTTGTTAATTACTTGGAATAGTGGGTGAAATAACTTGGTTTGGTGCCGACACTTTTTTCCTGAATTATGATGATATAGTGTATCATCATGATTCAGTATGAATGAAGGTTGCAAAAACAGCTGGAAATGAGAATATTTTTTTATGCATGATAAAATAATCATACCACCTTTATACGAAACTTATTAAATTAAATAATAAAATACAGTTTTCATAACTTTTTCAAAACATCAAGACAATGTTCAGTCAGATAACAGTCACTATTACCATTTTAATGATTGCCAGACTTGCAGAAACTAAGACAAGTAGAAATCTTCAGGTCTAACATTTAATTTTAACTGTCTTGGTTTTTTAACCATTAAGGACCCATATCGCCTGCAACCCATGAATGCCCGTAAACCCACTTACAGTATGCATAGAAAAATGAAATTTTCATAAAAATTTGGCCTGAAAATTCCAAATTTTTAACTTAACAGAAAGTTGGATAGTTTAGCGTCCTTTTCCGTATTACTAATTTCAATGGCGATATTAAAATATAAATAATCTATGTTTTACACCTCAGTGAGTTGGAAAAACGATTTGCAATTTTGTCTGTATGTCTGTGAACACGATAACTTGAGTACAGTTGCAGCGTGGTTGATGAAATTTCATCTAGGCATTGTATCAAATTGGTAGTTCAAGATATTCTTTATAAATACGTATGTTCCACACTATTATACACACACTGTTTGCTGTTCATTTGGTGCGCAATTTGTTTTTCTAAAATATATTTTTCTATTTTTAAAAAATTTTAAAATATATTTTTCTATTTTTTAAAATTCAGTACTTAAAAATTAAATCAAATCATGCCTGTATCCCCAAGCGCCATCCCCAATAGTGTAATATATAAGAATAATTGAGAAAGTTTAGGAGAGATCACTCCCAAAGAATTTACAGAATAATTTATAATTTTTAATGTAGCATAGCACACAGCCAGGGATCCGACCCTCCTAATTGAAGTTTTTTCTACGGAAACCTTCATGCGAGTATTCTCATCAATTCCCCATAGTTTCATGGAGATTAGATGAAAGGTGTAGTAATGCATCAAGGACAAAGCCAGGTACTTTATTTATAAATATATCACCTGTTTTTTGCAGCATTTTACTGAAAATATGCAAAATGACTTAAGCAACCATCAGATAGGAAAAGGCACAATCCTGATTAGAAAAAATTTTCATTTCAAAAAAGGTCTCTAAAATTATAACCTACCTCCATCATCTTCTCCTGCTGCAACTTCATCATCCTCCTCTTCATCATCATCTTCACCTGCAACTATCTGGTCATCATCATCTTCCCCATCATCACCAGGTTCAAAATCGTCTTCATCTTCATCATCATCCTTAAAAATTACAAGATTTTAGCTTAATTAATAGTGAAAAAAAACCAGGCTTGATTAAAAAACAGGCTTGATTAAATAACAGGCTTGATTAAATAACAGGCAGACATGCCTACCCGTCAGCCGAAAGTAGGAACAGCAATTTGTAGCCAAAAAGAGGAACATACGCACTGACGCTACTTTACTAAGTCAAAAATTATAATAATTAAAAATTACTCTAACGAGTATGCTTCTAGTTATATATAACTAGTCTCTAGGCTACATTTAAATATTGCTTAATGTCAGCTTATATTTTTTTTTAAAGTTAACCAGTAACCTGAGACCCCCCCCCCATAGCTTTGAAATAACATTGATTTGATTCTATATTAATAACTAATGCTGAAGGCTTCATCATATGTAATATATAAGTTAAGAGCAAAGACCCTCGAATGCCCTTGATCTACCTAGTAAAAGTCCTAGTTACTTCTTACTATGTTCTTTATAATAGTAGTTACTAGTAAGTTACAACTTACAAGATAGACCAGTATTTACTATTTTAGTATCTACTAGTAGATCTAGTTACAATTCTAGATCTAGAAGTAGTAGATTTACTGCTAGCTAGATCTATTATTAGATGATACTTGTAAATATTGTAAGTATACTAGGAAACAGAAATGTAAGCCAAAGGGAGATAATCACTTTTCACTGCCTTTTTTCAATTCACCTTATTACCATTCTTTATTAATTTTTTTTTTTAAATCGAACAAACTGAGGCAATGGGAAGGCATGTCTGTGACCTGTGACATTATATTTTTGAAGGTTTCATAGACTCATGACTGAGAACAACTTTGCACAGTACGCATTGTTTCTTCTCTATCCCATTTCCAGTGATGTTAGTAAAGCTGAATTTTAGATATTCGTCTAAATATGTATGTATTTTTCGTTTTTCATTGCTAAGGAATAGTCGACCAGTTGGCGACCCCCTAGAAAGCCCTTTGTGACCACCCTGGGGGTGGCGACCCACAGTTTTTGAGAAGTATGATTGTTTTACTGCTCTAACTAAAGATAAAAAATTGTGGGAATCCCGTTTACTGGGCAGAATTTATAAAGTTTATGATACAATCTTTAATGGTTAGACCATGACATACTTTAAGTCATTCTATTTGAGTAATTATCTCAATTTTTATAAACGCATTAATTTTGTATCAAGTAAAATTGACTTCTTGACGTTTTAGCTAAAGCATTGAGTATATAAATTACATTAATATAAAATATATTATTGTTTAACTCTCAAAGTATAATCAAACTCTGACTTGTATGAGTGAAACAGAGTGTATGGTTAATTTTAATATTTAACTAACATCAATGTTCTTTGTCAGGTATGACAGACCAACCTCATCCTCGTCCTCATCATCATCATCATCCTCGTCATCTACTTCATTTTCATCTGCATAAACAGAAAAACAGTTGTAAATTAGGTTTGAATATACTTAAGTTTTATTTGGTAGTAACACATTAAAAAAATTTACTACTCCCAAAGCAGCCATCCAATTTATTTCTATGAGAAACACTTTCTTAAACAAAATTCAGATTTTTTATTATGCATGTTTGGATACCTTGCCCATTTTTTAAATTTAAAAAATAAATTTTAATGAGAAAAAAATATGATGGCATTATTGAAATGCTAAATTTCTCTGGGTTTTTGTTAATCATCTCAAAAATACACAAAGCTTTAAATTGGCTTTACAAATTTTACAGATATTGTATTTTTGCAGACTAAAACGAGTGCAATTTTTTGGACCTTATAATGTAGAATCGTAGGTCTATAGAAAAAGTTGTAAAAAAAATATTTAAAAAATATAAGCAGTGTAAATTTAATTGCTTAAAGTCAGGGGCCTGCAACCTTGTGAGACAGAAGAGCCAAAAGTTACTATCTAAAAAAATTTCCCAATTTTTAAAGAACCACTAACATTTTATGTTCACTTCGGCAACGGAAGGCTTGGAACCAACAGCTGGCCACAGCACAGTTGTGGGTCTGGGCCTAAAGTCCAGCATCTGTCAGTTGTCCATATACGCTCTACTCCACCTATTCTCATTGTTTTTATTTTGTTTTAAGTTGTTTTTGTTTTTGCAGTACAATATTTTTTTTTAGTTTTAAAAATAAAATAATATTATTATTATGGAACTAGGGAGCCGAATATTCACATCAAAAGAGCAAACCCCCGCTTTAAGTGCATAAATAATAAAAACAGCGTTTTTAAAAGGTCCGAAAAATGGCGTAAGTTTTGCGTGTTTCCATGACAACCGAAATTGTTTTCCTACTTACTTTCATGTGTCTTACATGGTTAAAAGTATTTAAAAGGCTCCATAACTTTAACTACAAATTTTTTTCTTTTTAAACTGAATGTATCCACTTAAAGGGATATACTGCAGAGAAAAAAAATCAATATCATGTTTTTTTCCAAAAAAATCAATATCATGTTTTTTTCCATCTTACTGGGTTTCTTGCACTTTGAATTTTTGTCCATTTTGTATTAAGAAAACAAAAACTTGAATGAGAAAAAAAATTCTAATAGTTTAAATTAGAATTAATTTAAAATAATCATTTTTTCTTAATCTTACACGCTTTCTACAAAATTTCAATATCAATCATCTAATTCTATTTGATAATCTTATTTTCCATCATTGTTGAAATGCCCAAAGCTTACAATTAGCATTACAAAGTACTCAAAAACTGTATTTTCTTGATCTACTTTTCGTTATTTTTTTTAAAAATTCCCACCATATTTCAGTATTTATTCTTCAAAAAATAATAAAAATTTTGTAACAAGATAATCGTTTTGACTTTTATAGTTTACTAGCCATGGGTACCAGTAAGGCAGTTTCACATAAATAATAAGCCTGTATATTTTAACTGTTATACTTGTTTGGGAAAAAATAATTTATAAATTAGTTATTGGTCTAAACGCTATGTACTTAACCAAACCTTGAACAATAGTAACAAAGCTCAGAAATAACTATATAACTAAAAATAGGCAACCAATACCTATTAGACAAATTAAAACACAACTATGTATATTATCAGTCAACACTACACATTAAATGCACACTGATTAAGAGATCTACTATCTAGATCTAGAAATTAGTGTTACTGTTAGTCATGTATTTTTCTCCCTACACATTATTTAAGACATAATTTAAATCAACAATTCAATTGCAAATACTAAAAAGAACGTTCAGAAGCTTTATTGTCCACAATATCTATTAGTAGATCTAGTATTTGATGGTAATTGAAAATATTGTAAGTAAACTAGGAAACTGGTGCCAAAGAAAGATAATCGCTTTTCCCTTCTCTTTTTGTTAATTCGATTTATTACATTTCTTTATTATTTTTTTTTTTAACGGAACAAACTTAGTCGAAAACTGGATTGCGGAATAATACAGTTTTTGGTGGGACGGTAGGCATGTCTGTTAGTGCCATTGCATTGTTTTACTTATTTTTTACACTAAAAATACACTAGAAACTGAAAACAACATCCCATTTAGTACTTTATTAATAAATTTTATATATTTTATAGAATAATTGCCCTTTTAATATTATCGATGAGTGAGAACTGCGCTGCAGTCCAGGAGCAAATACATTTATATGTCACATAAATTATGCAAACTTTACCCGCAACACATACCATCCATTGATGACCCATAACGCCCGCTGCTGCACGCTAACCCATTATGGCCCGTAACGCCCGCTGCCTTCCACTTACAATACGCATAGAAAAATAAAAAATTTTTCATTAAAATTTGGCCTACAAATCCTAATTTTTAACTAAACAGGAAGTTGAATAGTTTCAGCATCCTTTTCTTCTAATTTCAATGCTGATTTTGAAAGATACAAAATATTAGTTTCTTTCTATACCGAAATTAAAAATAGAATATTGCCTATAAATGTATCTAGGCATGTATTTTATGAATTATATATCTTAAAAATAACCAAATTGATATTTAACTGTTAAATTCGATGCACAGTTGTGTAGACAAAAGTAAAGTTGAATACCCAAAATGACTTGTTTTGGATTTTCTCTGACATTTTTAATTTTTTTACTGGACTTGTACTGTACCGAATATAATATTTTCTATTTAATACTGTTGAAAAGCCAGGTTTATTCCCAACATCAAGCAGTAGTTTTTACCTTAATTTTCAATTTCATTTAGACAAATACAAAAATTTTGTGAACTGTTCACTTGATCAAACAGAGTTATGCTCCTTACATTGGGCTGTCAAGGGTGGGGTTTTGGTAGAATGAATGGGTCATTAATGGTTAATAGCCAAGATAGCCATACCACACTTAATGACATCAAAAAGTTTAGTCCACGGTTCCACTGATCCCCCTCCCGACATTAACATTTTTCCAAGACTGTCTAAAAACTGCAAACTTTATGAAAACTTGTGGGTAGAATCAATGTGTATCGTCCATGCAAGAATACTCAAACAACAATTTTAAATAATTGTAGCACATTTGCTGTCGCAAAAAAGTTTAGTGGTAGACTAGCAATTTACCCTCCCACGAATATTGTTGTAACTGAGGATTTCTAGAAGAGAAACTTTATTCTTCAGACAAATGTTTTTTCTTCAACTGAAAAAGATTTCTAGGAAAAATAGAAAAAAGGTAATATCTTGCAAGAATGTCATTTTTTACACGGTTAGACAGTCTTTTTTATTTTTAATAAACAACTAGCAATCCCATCCCATGCGTTACCAACTGTGTATTTTAAACATGAGACCTTGTTTTCTTAAGCTGAATTATTTAAATGTAAAGTAAGAAGGTGCTATATTTCTTGAATGAGAGTTGTTATTGCGCTGGCTAGTCCACACCCCCAAATGCCAATATGACCCAATGAGCAGGGGTGTCACACATTTTATTTTTAAGCCAATCCTAAAAATCAATCCCCTAATTTTTACCAATCCTGAAACGGACATCTGAAATTTTTAAAACCCTGAACCATTACCCATATTCTCCTAGCACCCCACTTATGCGACGATTGTATAAAAAATTGCTAAAATTTGTTAAAAACTAGTTTAATCACAAATTATGTTTCATTGTATTTGAAAATGGTTAGACTATTGAATTTGTGTGTTTTGTGAAAAAAAATTATTTAGAAAAATGTTATAGCGCCGGCTTTGCAGGACTTGTCAAAATGGAGGAAAAAGAAAACATGCACATAGGAATCTACACATCTACTAAAATAATAACATTTTAAATGCAAAATACATTTTAAACTTGTAGCAGTACCAAATTTCTATCTGATAAAAATTTAAGGGTCAATTTTTTAAACTACTTTGTTATATGAAGTGTACAACAAGCAACCCATAAGTGGGACGTTAGCAACTAATGGCCCCATGTAGACTGTTACACAAACGTCACAATTATTGGACACTAGCAAGAAACACAGATGCAAATGTTTATGTTAAATGGTTATTTATGGTGAAACAATCGTTGACTTTGTTAACTGTTGACGTTTGGGTGTTAAATAGTATTTATAGATACTTAATTATGACCTTGACTTATATTTACTTATATATTATTGTATAAAATAATTTAAAATATTGAAAAACCTTTAAGTTTTCAGAATTACACTAACGGAAGTATTTAATACCATTGAATGTAAACTAATTTAGTATTGCTGTAAATTTACTAGCGCATGACATTAAAAATTATATCAAACCAGAATAATAACAATGGTCACAATTTAAGTAAAACGATTCGGTCATGGGGGTTGGTTAACTCTCTTCATATATGAGAGCTCAAGCTACATATAGCAGAAATGTGAAATAGCTGTGTACTGTTGTCATGCCCCAATAATATTCCCCTCCTAAGGTTCCCCATACCAGTTTTACTTTGTTAACTTTTTAACCCTTTACCCCTTAATGTGAGTTTTAAATAAGGTGAAAGGTATGGTTGTTTTTAAATAAATTATTTTGTAACACTACCCTCTAATTTAGGCTGACTTATGCCCCTTTTCTTAGGATTTGGGAAGGGGCAACAGTGACAGTGCTTAAGGGGCAAAGGGTTAAGAAGATTCGTGGTGCTAAATTGGGAGCTGTTCGAATAGTGAGTTGCATACATGGATGAGAGCCATGAACACTCAATACAGGTTGCCCCCAGAGACGGATCCGGGTCGGAGAAATAAAATGTCTGATGTCCTAATGTACGCGTGGGGGGGGGGGGGGGGGGGAGGAGATAGCGAGGGCAACAAAAGAGAAGATGGTTGGATGACATCTGGGGTTGGACCGGATCGACTTTTGCAAATTCAATGAGGGCAGAGTTTCTTCCATGCATCACTTCAGGTGGGGGGATAGGGGGCACTGCCCCCAGAACAAAATAGAATTTATATAGAAAACATACTTTTATCAGTGTCCCCCCCTCCCCCGGACATTTAAGTGCCCCCCCACCCTGAAAATTTCAAGTACGCCTCCCAAAAAATAAATTTATATTCAACTGTATAACATTTTCGATGAATAATAACATTATTCTTGATCATGTGTGTATAATTAGATGCACCTGTCACAGCTTTACTTATATCCAAGTGTTATTCACTTTGATGGATGCTAGATTGAAAGAAAACTAGACGTTTGAACATAATTTCCGAATTTTAGACCATGGTATGGCTAACCCAATTGAACATTATAAGTATTTTTAGCTGTCCTAAACAATGTAACTACTGCTCTAACAATACAAACTCAGTATACAGCTTGATTTTCATTGAGTAGCCATATTTCGTGATAAATGATTTTTTTTTTTTTCAATAAATGTACAGTGGTTCAGCAAAATGGTTTCCTGCTAAAAATTACTGTAAACTGCATTCTAACTTTAAATATTATACCCATCAAATTCTCTATTTAGATGCTTAAGTTCTATCATGTTTCAGTGTCAGTTAAGCAAATGAAAGTAGCGGTATAATAGGCCTAGCTAACACAGCCGTGGATATGGTACCCTCTACACATGCGCTAATGACAGAAAGGGCCATTAGCTGCAAAATTCTTTGGATCACTATTAAAAACGATTTTCAAAACATGTCTTTTTTTAAACTGCAGACCCAGAAATTTTTTAACTCACATTTTGCATATTAGGAAAGTGAAAAAATACGGTTCTTGAATCCAGAGTATCCTGGAAAAGTAGCATCCCTGCAATGAGTCACCCCTACGCCATTGAGGTGAAAACCCTTCGGCGACTCGAAAGTCAGGAACGTTGCGGAAAGCGGTTACACTACCGCAGGGGCACATGGCGAAGCCCATGGCTGCCCCTTCAAAAAAAATTCTGCACAAACCAAGGAGTATTTTCAACTTTCAAAAAGGCTGACAATGCATAAAAGACTGACGTAGCTTCATTTTAATATGCATAGATAAGATTGCTAATAAATTTCTTTGATGTAACACTTATTTTGCAAAACCTGAAAAGACTTTTCTTTTTCCTAGTTTTGTTTCCAAATACCTCTTATTGTTTTTATTTTTAATGCTCCCCAATATAGGTAGCTGATATTTTTTTTACATTATAAACATGTAAGTACTCAACAAAGTGAAAGTACTAATGCCAAAGGGACATAATTTATATTTTCTGCTATTTGATTTTTCAAACTTTATTTTTCTTTAATTGCTTTATTTTTTTTAGCAGAGAGTAGGCATACATGCAGGTACTATCCGAGATAATATGCTTACCTTCGTCTTCATCCTCTTCTTCACCTGAAAATTATTACAAAACAAATTACTGGTGCATACGATTTCCAACACTCTAATTCTTAATTCAATATCACTTATGATTTAAAACTGCTAAACAAATTAATTCTCAATATTAGCAGAAAATACAAAGTTTATAAAGGCATATTTAGACAAAACTCGACTCACCATCAACATCTTCTTGTTCTTTCTCTTCCCTATCAAAGCCATCAAGATATGTTATCTGTGATAATTTGGCAAAAACTTTCTCTCTATACTGCTCATTGTTGGTTACTTCACAATTGAACAGGTCAAGACTCCTCAAAAAATTAAGATCTTTCTGTAAATGGTAACGTTTTTTTTAGACAAAACAAAAAAGCAATAAACCTGACTAAAAGCTAAGCTACAAAATTACTTACAAATAAGAATTAACAGTGAACAAAAAATACTTACAAGTGGATCTAAAACATCAAAGTCTTTAATTTTATTGCCACTTAAACTAAGATGTGTTAGATTAGGACATCCAGTTAAATGATTCAAACCTCCAGATATTCTGTTATCACTTAACTCAAGCTGAAACACAAACATGATGAGTTAATGTATAATAATTGGATTAAATAAACTAGTCTAAGGAATAAATAGTGAGTTTTTAATTTATCTGCTCATTATTACTGCTATTGCTTGTCTAAAAAGACAGATGCTTACCTTTCTAAGGTTGCCAAGTTTAGGAAATCCTTCCAAACTTTGAAGACCTAAATTTATGAGACTGAGGGTCTGTAAGTTGACAAATTCACTAGTCAGTCCTTCAATTTTACTTGCTCGGCAGTTATCAAGATTGAGATCCAGTATCTAAATTTTTAAAATTAACATTTGTCTTTGTAATGTAGTTTCATTTCTAAAACAATCACTTAAAAAGAGCCTATGAACTAGATCTATCATCTGTAAGGACAGTGTTAGTGTTAATGAATACTCCAAGTCTTAAAGAAATCTGGTAGAACTATACTACTATACTAGATCTAGTCTAGACCTAAAATCTAGATCTCTAACCTCTAGGGATTTATGAAAGACAATGCCTTTAGTTATTTAGATCTACACTATTAGAACTTAGTCTAGATCGGCTATGGAATCTACCTAGAACTCTAGATCTAGATCTAGATTTTAAAAAGTACATCTAGATCTAGATCTATATATTACAGAAAATATGCTCTTGAAGCATATGCTCTTCAGCATGGTTTAGGAATTTATATAAAGAGTGGGCCTAGATCTAGATATCTAGAATCTATATTTCTAAATGATCTAGATCTAGAGAAAATGTAGGACTAGATCTAGATCTAGACCTAGAGTCTAGATTCCTTCCTCTGGATCTAAAAAAGCATAGATTCTACTTTCTAGATAGATCTTCAAGTATTCTAAATACTATATAGAATCTAGAATATGGCTCAATACGGAATCTAATCTAGAATCTAGATCTAGAGCTGAATAGATTCCAGACTAGAAGAATCTAGATGTAGATCTAGATCCGTCTAGATCTATCTAGATCTAGTCAAGATTCTAGATTTCTAAACTAGATCTAGAATCTGGTCTAGATTTCTAGATTAGATTATCATTAGATCTAGATTATTCTAGATGTAGAATCTAGATCTAGAGTCTACTAGATCTAGATCTATCTAGAATCTAGATAGATCTAGATAGATCTAGATCTAGATCTATATTTGCATTAAAAAAGATTCTGCTTAGATTTAGATCTAGATCTATAACTAGGTCTAGACTTAGATCTAGATTCTATATTTGCAAATTAATTAGAATTAGATTCTAGATCTAGATCATTGTTTTTAAAATATTGCGTATTTGACCCTAAGACCACTTTTCTCGTGCAGGATGACCCAATCCTCTCTACAAACTTGTGTTGACTCCATACGCCTGCCCTTCGCCTAGCCTAGTACAGAATTTAGATTTAACCATGGCGGGAATACTGATGGAACTCATAAATAATTAAAGTTAAACTATTATGATAGTTTGTAGATCTAATTCGTAGTGTAATACACGTGCAAATATTTTAAAAATATAGACCTATGACCATCGACATAAATATAATTTTGTATTAGGCCTAGATCTAGGCCTAGAAAATCTAGATCTAAATATAATGTTAAATCACTAGGTAGGCCTATTTGTACATACTTTCAAGATGGCGCGCTCTTTCGGAATTACTTGCAAGATGGCTAACTAACATTAAATGCGATTACCTCCCCTGTCGGTAGCATAATTTGCCATGTGAGATCAAACTAGGCCATACTGTTGAGTTTAATATAAACGTTCCAATTGAAAATATATCTAGATCTAGATTCTTCATCTACTCCATAGATTCAATTAGATTCTACCTCCCTAGATCTAGATTCTAATAGATCTAAATCTAGACTCTCTAGATCTAGATGATCTAAATTAAACCTAGACTCTAGATAGAGTCTAGAAGCGTAATAGCTAAGTTAAAAGTAAAATGCCACCAAAAGCATCTAGCTTCTAGATCTAGAATGGATTATATTTATTCTAGAATATAGAGTCTAGATCTAGATCTAGATACTAGAATCTAGATCTGTCTTCTATAATTAGAAATCTAGATCTAGCTCTATCTAGAATCTAGATCTAAGAACTAAATCTCTAGGGTAGAGTCTATAACATCGAGGTAGAATCTAGATCTAGAGATCTAGATCTAGATGAACCTATATCTAGAATCTACAAGTTGATCTAGATCTAGATGATCTAGATAGAATCTGGATTCTAGATCTAGAAAATCTAGATTTCTAGGCATTGCAATGACTTTGACTGTTGCTTTTATTTTTGGTTGGTTTAAAAAAAAAGCCTGGCATAGACAGACTGGTTTTAAGTAGAATTTAGATCTAGACTAGACTAGACTAGATCTAGATCTAGATCTAGATCTCTAGATTCTAGATCTAGATCTCAGAAAATGTAACGTGAAACTGGTCGTAAAGATTTACAAATGCATCTTGCTAAACATTGATAGTCTAGATTTATAAAGATTAAAGAAGAAAATCGCTCATTGATCTAGAGAATCTAGACGTATAGATCTAGAATCTAGATCTAGATTCTACGATTGAAATAGAAAAGGCGCCATGTTTATGTTACTTTCGAACCTTACAACAGCGTGTTACGGTGTTAGACTAGGTCACTAGTCGTTAGTGTAATCTACAGTCATAACAAGTTTAAGTGTTTTTATTCAAAATTTCAATACATTGATGTTTATAATTTATAAAAGCAGCGTACAAAATAAGTAGAATGAATTCGGAATGAATTAAGATAGACTCAGTCCAGACTGGATCTATAATCTATAGCATAGTGATAGTGGTCTCTCTCTAGCTAGACTAGAGGTCTATTCTACACTTCGTGTTGCTGTGTACACGCCAGTGACACTCATGTAGAATCAAATAAGACAATAAGTTATGCTGTATAACTGAAACTTTACCTGATCAGCTGGTCGACCTCTCATTTCTAATTCTATTCTTTTTCCGAGACCTAAAGACATTTTCATTTAGTAATCCAAAATTTTGAAAATATCACTGATATTTGATGGGAAAAAAAATCAAAGCCTCGTATTCGGAAGAAAGCTCTTACGCTACCACAGTGCGCGCGAGATATCAATGTTGTGAGGGCGCTACGGCGATTGGTTGTAGCTGTTCCTGAGGCATGTGGTAATCTCATGAATATAGGGGAGACTGCTCTAACTTCGACCGGGTTCTAACTTCGACCGATTTCTTAGTATGGTCAGAAAAAAAAATTATTAAAAATTTAATAATTGCCATTGGACAAAATAAATTATATATTTAGTAACATATTTGAATTGTGGGGGATTTTCTTTTTTTAAGGTCATGTCTATTTTTAACCGTTTCTGCGCTTCTGATCGGCAAATATAAGGCACAACTCGTCAGTGAATTTTATCACGTGAAAATCACGAATTGAGATTTTGCTGTCTTAGGAGTGTCGTGCTTCACAATGCTCAAATTACAATTAATTCATACAATAAAATTTAAAAAATTAAAAAAGCGTTTGTAAAAAAGGCAGTCCTATATGTGTGTATTTTTATTTTTTACATTTAAACAAAAATGTAAAAAATAAATTTGAAAAATAAATCGGTCGAAGTTAAAACCACTTGAAATTGGCATAGTTCTAACTTCGACCGACTGAAAAACTTGACCCTAAAACATAACTTTGCATGTACTATCACATTTATCTATAGTTTTATTAAATAATTTAATCAGCTGAGCATTTCTTTTTCATTATACTTAAATATAACTAAAAACAACACAAGATGACATAATTATTGAAGGACCTAACGATCTATGTCCCCATCCTGCCCTTTCTGTCCCATCTCCAGCTGGTTTAAATATCATTATTGCGTCTCTATTTTCTACAAATTAAATATCATTTGTACCATAATATAGATCTGCATATTGTTTATTATAATGCCCTAATCTATTTACAATTTTAAGCCTTTTCCCATATGAATAAAACAATAATGTATATATAGGCTTATAGCGGTCGAAGTTAGAGCAAGCCGCTGGTCGAAGTTAGAGCAACCCGGTCGAAGTTAAAACCAAACAGAACGAAGTGGGGTCAGTGTCTAGCCTTGCATATAGCATTTATATTCTCCCTTGTGATTGGTTAACTATTTATACTGAACCAATCAGCAAATGATAACGTTTTTAATAGTGAAAAAATGAAACCGCTATGTTGATTAGCTTACGAGTTACAACGAAGAGAAGCGAACCTACGGACCGGACGAAAACGAATCGGTCGAAGTTTGAGCAGTCTCCATATAGCCCCAAAGCAGCCAATGAAACTTATTTCCGTCTTTCGAGGTACAATAACATCTCCACGTGGAGTTTCTATTTATACACATGTGCCATGCGGTTTTAGCCTACCAATCGTGTTTACAGTTTACTGGAAATTATTAGGAATAGGCCTAGGATATCCGCGTTTGTGCTGTGATCCCATTAAGGGCCAGCGTGTTTAATCCACTTAGCTATGCCTTGAGGCTATATTTAATGATACTTTAAAATAAATTGGAGGAATTGTAGATACCCATGCCTTTGTTGTTAGTGATAAATTATGCTGCTAAACTGCTAATTCTTTGATTACTGACTAGCCTGAAACAAGCGTTTCTTTCAGTTCTCTTTCGGGGAGAGGGTGGGAGCCAATGCTCCAACAGCACAAAAAAAAACAACATCCAACTAACTCAGAGGTAATATTTATAGGATATAGGTCTAGGCCTACTTGAGTAAATGTCTTAGACAGCAGGAGGTAAAGACATAACTTTTTTTTTTACCGTAATTAAGAATTTTAAACAGGGGCAACCATTAGCATTTTAAATAAACAATCAAGCTTAGATCAGGGTAATGGGTTACTGTTAAATGTGTAGGCCCTTAACAGCAATTTTTCGTGAGTTGAAACTATGCATACTGAAACGTTCGAATGCAGTCTAATTTCAGGAAAAAATTTATGTTTTTATTATGTCTGATTAAATTACGTAGGCCTTAATGTTAATTATCAAAGGACTCCTTTCAGTGTTTCTTCCAGACTTATTTCTCCGGGGGGGGGGGGGGGGCGGACACTGTTAAAAGTATATATTTTCTATATAAATTATATAAATTTCATTTCGCCTGGAAGAAACTCTGACTCCTTTTAATCTTGAGCACTATTTTAGAAAGACTTCGTTGTTTTATAGAGGAGAAATGCAATTTAGTGGGAAGGGGGACTGGAGCAAACCAGTCTCCATTTTTGGGGTCTGATGCAGATCAACTCTACAGCTTAATTGCATTCACAGTGAACAAATAACAGGTTGTATATTTTAAAATAAATGAGTAGAAATATATACGTCATTCATTATGGACTGTCACTATATGTATTATAATATATTATTATATTTTGAATTAGTAGGGGTGGTACTTTAATTTTTAAAATTGTTTACCTAATTCTAATCATAGTTCTAACTCGTTACAATAGAGAAACAGTGGGCCACTTCATGCGATGACTAAACCGAATCAGGCTGTAGTGTGATCAGTGTCTCCCGAGAGCACCCAACACACTTATGGTCACAGTGTTGTGATTAGTGTACCCTCAAGGCTTTCACATTGAACGCCCAGATGATGTCAGAGAGGTAGTCTGGACACTATGACACTATTCCTGAACCACCCCACCCTGGAGTGTGACGTCATTAACGGGCATCCCCTACGCCCAGTAGCAAAAAAACTTATGTATAATTGTTTATCGGCATTTTGCTATGTAGGGTCTTGATCTAATTGCATGCTAGTAGGCTTACTAGCTATTTTAGTGAACTTAAGGTTACTGTTATAGTAGATTTTAATATGCCTACTAATAGAATATGGACCTAGGCTGTGAGATCGCAGTATGAGTCATCCGTTTAGGGGTCATCCATTTATGACACCGGGGGGGGGGGGGGGGGGGGGGTCCGAAAAAAAACTGACTTGTGGACGCATATGGACTTGTATAAGAAAAAAAGTGGATTTTTGTGGTCGGGAGTCCAAAATTTTAAAAAATTGTGGACGTCATAAATGGATGACCCCTTATGACGTCCACACAGAAGGTGTAGTCCGAAAAAATCGACTGGTGTGGGTGGGGGGTGGTTCGAGCCCATAAGGTCGTCCGCATGTTAAATTTAACATCTAAGTACTTACGTTTTAAAACAATCACAAAACTAGTATCCTCCATGTAAAATTAAGACGACAAAGCTCGGCTTGTGCTTTTTTCAAAACTTTTTTAACGACTTTTACATTCTCTCTCCCCCCCCCTCCTCACAAACGTCACACATCACAAAATACCAAGACCCAACACCTAAAACGACATCACACATTAGCAGTTTTTTCCCATGCATCTCTTCCCATGCCCCCCCCCCCCCCCCCGAACGAAATGGAATTTATATAGAAAAAAAAAGTTGTTTATTTTTACTTTAAGGAAAACTTTTATACAATATATAAGCTCGGTTTACGTTGAGCAGGCTGGATCAATTTGCATTTAATTTTTATTTTATCAATAAAGTGGGTTTCAAGCAATATTGCAATAGCGAGTCGTCACACTTTGACTAAATGAAACCCGAAACCCTTCTCCCCCTAACATTTCACAGAAATTAACCTCCGTCGCGTGACGTCATTAATAGACAACACCCCCCCCCCCCTAACGCAAAAAATAGTACCTCTTGGTGTCCACATATCGTCTAATGACTCTAGTCCAAGAATAAAATTTACAAAATAGCCCAAGCCCTAGGAAAATGATAGAAAATCTAAAGAAGGTTCGATCGAAATGAAAGGCCTCCACTTGTTGATATGTAGTAGGCTATCTGATCATGTGACAAGAAATAATCATGACGTCATTTTGACACAATTTAAGGACTCTTCTATTTGACCTATTTTATAAACTAGTTGATTAGGCCTACGTTAAATTCTGTATTATTATCAAGCTATTATTTTTATGCAGTCCGACATACCTGATAGATCCTTAGCACGGCTATTCTTTTTTTTTTTTTTCAAATATAGACTCTATCTAGATCTAAGAATCTAGACTAGATCTCTACATCTTTTTTTTGTTTTTTTTTTTTACTACATTTTTGTGCGCAGTGCTCAGTGACCTTGAACAACTGCAACTTAGATCTCTACATGAGTTTGAATTGTTTCGATTTTCTGAACATTTATATGGCATTTTTTATTTTAAAGTTTAATAAGTTGCTAAGAGCTTCCATGGTTTCAAATCCACACATTTCCTTTGAGAAAAGAGTCCGTATTAACTTAAGAATGAAAGAGCAAACTATCCTTATACCGTACAGTTCAACAGTAAATTCAATATGGCTACCAAACTTCATAGCTTTAGTGTTAGTCTAGGCCAAGTGTTCATTCTCGCCGATCACGATTTTTCATTACTGCTATCCCTCTACAGACAATTTGCAGTCCAGCCTATCCCAGACTCAGCTCGAGGCCAGTAGGTCCATTATGATTAAGGACCGGGAATATATTGAGAGTCTTTTAGAAAGGTTTTCTGCTACAAATTTAACATTTTTACTTTTAGACAGTTCTTTAGATGTATAGATCAAGATCTATATCCTTCCATCAACCAATCGCCTATCCATTTACTGAGATGACTTTTTTTTTTCAAATTCACAACAGGGTAGACTTCAAAAATTTTAAATGGAAAAGTAAAAAATGTTATTTTATTGGTGCACATGTACACACAAACGATACATTAGCATCAATTTGTTCAAAGGACAAAACCATTAAATTAAAATATTAATTTCACACAAAAACAAAGCAATAATATGCGCAGCTTCATGTTGAATTTAGCGTGCATTGTGTTCTTCCAGTAGCCTAGCTCAGTGGCGTCGCGAGGTCGGGTGTCACCCGGTGCGAGACCTCATGGTGTCACCCCCAACCCCCCTCCCAGAAAAAAACCTATGTGATATATATATATATATATATATATATATATATATATATATATATACTGGATATATATACTAGGCATACTGCCTAGCTTTGCTTAGGTTTTCAAAAACATTTGAGAATTTAAAACTTAATTATTTAGTGATGGCTGAGGTGTGGAGTGCTTAAATTTAAACAGTAATGCTAATTTTAGAGAAAATGTTGTTATTGTTTG